CCYRSAGTGCACTGCTCACGGCCGTTTCACTTCCATCTGTKTTGTAGTTACATTCACTCTTTTTTAGAAAGGATAAAAGACTTTAATTTTGACAGAGGGGTCCCGTGACTTTGTATAATTGAACTGAGTGTTGTAWTCTTTTTGCTTTACATGATTTATCTATAAAAATCAGAATGAGAAATTAACAGTTAATGAAAGGTTCTCTTGAAAAATTGGTATTTTATCAAAAGCGCCTTCACTGCTAGGCGTGTTATATATGATATGAATTAAGCAAACGCGCTGGAGAACTGAATATTGTTGTAAAGGGTTAAACTGGGATAATAACGTCTGCGATATAGCTGAAACATWCACAATCCTTGCTTTCCTGCGCAGAGAGTAATGTTTTGGATATTTTTATCAAAAGTACGACGACAAAGGAAAAAACATTAGTGTGTACTGACCCCCACGTACGGAAGTTACCTTTCAGTAGGGGGCTAATGGGAGGAGATTTTAACTTTCTAACGCAAGATTGCAAGAACACTCTAGCCTACCGAAAGGGATCATGGGAAAGTAAATATTACAATAGCAGTGTTGTAGAGTCAAATAATACCTTCTCTTCTAATAATGCTATAATGTAACATGTTTAAGTAAATTTTATTTGAATTTCTGAATCTCCTTCGATATAGCACCTTTTGAGATCCGACAACGTAAATTCAAATTGGTGTAGTTTGACCACTGATGCATACATAAATAGCCTGCGTCATTGCATCCAGAATTTTATTTCCCGTTGTGCACTCAGCCCTCCATATGTATGACATTTAACCTCTTTCCCAGAGGGTCTCAAAAGCGTAGTTGGCCATTACTACTGAGACGGGTTAAAAATATGGCTACACTACGTGATCCAAATAACAAGTATAAACAAGAACACTGACGGCTGACGGTTAAATTTTACACCATACTAAGGCTAATGCTTAACACCAAGACCCTCTTCTCGTTGGACAGGACATGTGGACGAAATTTTGGTATTTAATTAATACATGTAAAAAAGAAAAAAATTAGGTGCATGCATAATGAACTACAAAACTACATGTAGCTACTGCTGACCACAGTACTTAGTAATGAGCTTAACAATGCTTAGCATTGTGGAATCTGGCGTATTCAGTATTCTGTCCAGGAAATATTCAAGATCTCTTTTAGCCACTGTGGTCCAGCAGCGAGTTTGTGTGCAAGAATGCATGGACTGCTAAACATAATATGGGCTCAATTAAATAATCATTTTCACGTGTATTGTCACCTCCTCAGACAAATGTTCATATGGTTTCTTATAATAGCATTATTATAGATCTTTGTTACTCGGGTTATCTATGACAAAAGAGTCAAAAAACTCAGTCGTACCTTACACTCAAGTACACCTTATTAGCACGCCCTATTTCCATTGTTTTATTTTGTATTTCTGTTTGACTGTCAAACTTAAATAATCGAATTTTGTTTCACGGATTTAATGACTTTCCCGCTTTGCTAAACCAACAGTTCTTTTTCGTAGTTTTAGTCTTTGCTCTTAGTGTCATTGACATTGAGAAGYTGATTTTATACATTTCCTGATTCCACGCGCATTTCATCTGGTTTTTATTTCAWTATATCCGTCGTTTTGTTCCATTTAGTAATACTATAAACCTTTATAACCCACTAACATCAAACATGATGAATCGGAATGAATGAAAAGCGACACAGCTGGAGATGTGATAATAAACTCCATGTCCRCTTGCAGCTTGTTAGACTTTAAATATTCTTGTTAACGTATTTCAACGGTCTTMTAATTGACAATGCTTTGGCACATTCCTGTCTGCGTTGCACCCGGCATACAATCATATGTACTGTATAAATACCGGTACATGCATTGAGGAACGCGCCGAGTTTTTTYCAAGTACCMAGTTGTGRCATCATGCAAGTCATTCTACCTTTTCATTTCCTATTGATCATATGATCTCCACAAAGTGAAGTAAGCTGGTTTAGTTGACCTAAAATCAGATATAAAAAGTGAGTAGGATAATTTATACTTTTAAGTTCAGAGTTAATGATTAACAAATAGA